AAAGCGAAATCATGAAGGGAGACAAGCTTGGGAGACAAGGCGGCAGCGGCAGCCAAAAGCGAAATCATGAAGGGAGACAAGCTTCACAGACAAGGCGGCAGCGGCAGCCAAGAGCGAAATGATGACGGGAGACAAGCTTGGGAAACAAGGCTGCAGCGGCAGTGGCAGCCAATTTGCGCAATCAGGAACCCATCCATTGAGAAGTAAGAACCCCTATAGCTTCGCTATCTGGGGAAAAATGTTCCAATCGTTTATTTGCATAAGATGACGAGCAGCTTTAGAGGTGCAGAGCCTCATGTGGCTAGAAGCAAGCTTGTGCTTAGCCGTGCTGTTGGCCACCATCATCTATTTTCCGAGCGCACCGAGCTCCCCGCCCTCAGAATCTGCAGCTGTAAAACGTGGCAGCAGCACCGGAACCTATGCACAGCTTTTTCCTACGAGTCGGCAAGAGTCTTGCTGGCCTGGAAGAGAGCCCACTTTGCATATGTTGCATATATATATATATATATTCTTTTTAGGAATATTTAGGAGTGTGAGCCGCTTTTTGAACATATCAAGTGCTGAATTGGTCGGGAGGGATTTGCAACCGCCAAAAGCCACAAGGTCCTGAAACGGAAGGCTTTGAGGAATGATTTGAGGAATGTTTGTTTAGTGTGTTGGCCTCCTCAAGAGACAGTGTTGCCTGCTTGTTTTTTGACCGTTTGTCAAAACGCAGAGGCATGCCGATTTTGGATTCTCAATTTGAGCTTCGCAATTCCCATCGGTGCATATCAAAGCTGGGCCGGAGTGCTGAACCTGAACTTAGCGCAAACGAATCTCGGGTGCCTTTTCTAAGTTTGCACTTTTTCTGGCTCTTCAAGTTTCTCCCTTTTGGCTGTGTGGAGCTTGGGGAAAGGGATGGAAAGGGCACAGTTCCTTTCAGCTAAACTATTGGTCATGCTAACGGGGCCACCACGAGGATTTCACCCCGCGCTGTGGCGTTGCTGGGCTGCTTGATGACACTGTCAGGTGCCGCAGGGAGAAACTCGGTAAGCAAGAATGATGGAAGATCGGGGTTCTCCAACCGATTGTACTGTTTTAGCGCTGTTCGGCTTATAGGTTTTGCTGAGACACTTCTGCGGTCAAAACGCTAAAAACCACAAGTTATCGTTTTTTCCCGTTTTGCCCGGGTGCCTCAGCCTTTTTGTTACCCAAAGGCGTGGTCAAAAGGGTACTGTAAACATTGTGTGTTTTCTTATTGTTTGATTACGGTAATATCATTTAATATCACCAATTTATGCCAATCTTCGTAACATCGAAGAAGGATGAACTTTATAAGAATCATTAAGAATCGTTTTTCTAGAGAGCGGGTGTGCTTGGGAGAGCACACACTAGCTCAAAATCGATCAAAGCACCGTACACACCGTGCAAATTTTCAAAAACTGCATTGAGACCTAGCCTAGGCGAAACGCATATTTTATGTTTTCCTGTGCCAATCTCTGTATGTAATGTCAATGACAAAAAGAAATAGCTTATCGTTTGCGCACTATCAATGTGTAACAGTCAAACAAGACATACATAATCCTACTGAAGCAATTGAAAAGCCTTTTGAGAATTCGAACAGCTTGCAGGGAAGAAAGCTGAGGGAGAGGAAGACGTTTAGCGACCTTGTCCAAAGCACAGTGGCGCCAGTACTCGGCAAAAGCCGTCGTATAAACCCTGAAGCTATGCATTTGCGCCAGGAAAGACATATTGAATAAAGACATATAAAGACTACGCAAATTAGCAAGGGCGTGTGAATGTGCTACAGAGGAAAAAATACAAACAAAAAAACATGTTTGGTTCAACATGAGGGTGCTATAGTTGGAATTTATTACTCTTGTTTTTGTTGCTTTCATTTGTGTCAAAATTTAGGTGTTTATGTGTTTGTGTTGTTTTTGTAATTATTCCTCGTAAACCTTTGTAATTAGGCCTGGTCTAAAAAATTGAAGCCAATAAATACTCAGAACCTACAGGTGTTTTTGTGTCATTTCTTGCACAGAAAACATCTCCCAGGAGCACCTGTTCTGCTTTTTACCCGCAATGAATTTGACCGAAAGGCGCGGTAAAACGATAAAAAGCAAAAATGTATTTCTGTACTGCTGAAAGGCCCGGTAAAAGATTGCAAAACAGCAAAAAATGCATTTCTTTACAGATTGTTCCTCTAATAGTATGTGTTAATATTGTTTCCTTTGTGGGTGTTGCGACCGGGTGTCCGCTGGCAAAACAACACTGGCAAACCAGCTTTGCCAACTGAGTAGCCGGCTATCCCACGTTGAAGTCAAGTGCTGAAGATTATCCAAGCCCAAGACATGTGAGTTTCTAAGTCTGACCAGACAGCGGATGACAGAGGATCAGGGTATTTTTTGAGACGGCGACGAGTCATGCCGACCAGAGAGAGAGAGAGAGGGAGAGAGAGCGAGAAAAAATATATAGATTTTGGAGTGCCCACATTCTATCGCAAGGGCGGAAATTGCTTTGTAGCACAAAGGGCTGTACCATTTCATCAACTCGTCAGGCTTAGTGAGTTCAGGCAGTTTGGGTGAATGTATAACATGAACGGAAGCTGTGGTATGCTGCCATCACGGGTCATTCTATTGGTTCTGACACCGAAATTCACCCTGAGGGCCTGAATGACTTCATACGCCTTGTTCTCACCGAACTTGTTGCTGGCTAAAGTGCAACAAAGTGCTGATCAGACTCAAACTGGCGTCACACCTGAGGCATTGCCATCGGCTTGGTCACCAAGCGCTTACTGGGCGCGTTGAAGAGCATTATCCTTCTTTCAGCAGCTTTCTCTGCTCTTGGTTTTTTGGTATTTGCCGTGCTGCTCACGTTCCATGTGGACTCAAGCGCATTGCTTCTAGGCGCGGTCCAGCGTTGTCGACTACTGAGGCTAAACTGTACTATGGCGGTTCACATTGTTGTGTTTTTTTGTGGGGGTTGGGTTGTGGGAGGTTTCTGAGTGAGATATGCAACTGCCATTTTCGATCTGGTGAGCCGAATCACAGCTGACACTCTCCATATGATAATGAGGGTTGTCCCTTTCCTTGCGAGGAGTCACTGGGGTAATTGGTGGATTTGGCGTGAATTGCATGCCTCCATTGTTCTTCGAGCTGATTCTGGAGACCGTTTATGGCTTTGTGAGCGACAATCTTGCAGCTAGCACCATGATGCTCACAGTGTCATTGGTTCAGATTCTGGTCCTGGCCGTTCCATTGAAGATTGGAGGCTCCAGTTTATGGATGAATTGGCTGATGGTGATAAGCACGGTCCTTTGCACCTTGGAGCAAAGCCGTTTGGTGTCGTTGCTTGCGGGTTTGAATACAGAAGTTTGGATTCTGTCAAGAGCACCTGCCCACGCTATGGGCCAGTGAGATCCAGTGAGACGCATTTGGCTTCCTCACGGGACATGTATTTAGAAACTCTATGAAACTCTGACCACGTGACTTCCTTCCATTTCTGTGAGGTTTCGTTGCAGTACTGCCCTTCCGCGCGCGATACTTGCGGTTGGAGACAGACCTGGGAGAAGACTTCACCAGCACATGTGATCGCATGGGTTGCTTTTGAGACTGGTGAAGTACACCATAACTCAAATCGTCGCCCTGAAGCTTTGAGAACACGTTGCATGGTGGCTCTTCGAAGAAGACCAGGCTGAGCAATCAAGTCCAAGCCACGTGCGCCTAAGCCCAGGCGCTTGAAACATGACCTGCAAAAGTCAGGGAATGCTTGAATGCTTGCCACTTTCTGCGGACAAGAGTTGGGAGTCGGACGTACTTTCGGATTATTTTCGCTATATATGAGTAGTCAATGTTGCACCCCACCCACACCAAAAAGAGCTATCCCCCAAGTTCGCACATCCATGGCAACATGATCAACATGTCATGTCATGTCACGCATTTGCAAATGCTATCAGGACGTTTTGATTCCTGGGAGAATCTCCTTGGCAGAAGTTCGATGGGCTAAATCTGCACCGACTGAGCGACAGTACCTGGCAGATTTTGCTTTACTCTCAGTTGCTTGCTTGAACCTGCATGCTGTGAACCCACTGCAATCTCTTTAGGTCGGATGGAACCGACCCTTGCATAACGCTCAGGGTGGTATGAGTGCAAGTTGCTTGGTAGATAGTACCGTGAGTGGGCCGAAAAAGTAAGTGCAGCACACCCAGGTTCCCCTCGAGTAGCACTCCTTGCGATGGCTCACGAGTCAGTGTCCTAGATAGACATATTCTGGTTGATGCCGCTCTCCCAAAATGATGCGCCCAGGCCAGATCTTCATATCCGGCAAGATGTCCCCTACATGGAGGCAAGCGATCAAAGCTATCCTTGCATGAATGCTAAAAGCATCTAAAAGCTTTGCACTGTTTTTGCAGGTCTTCATCCGCATGCTTTCATGTGTGTGTCTATTCTTTTTTTTGGCTCTTCCTTTGCTAATCATGGTGCGCAGAACTGGGCATGAACTGGACTGAATTTAGGCAGCTCGTGGAGCGCTTTCCTCCAAATTTTGCTTTGTTCCACGGGGCAAGTCTGCCTGGTCGTCGAGGCCGATGGAAAATGGGGGAGGCATCAATCAGATGAGATAAAGATTCCCTGGTGGCTAGTTTGATGGTGGTGGGAGAAGCTTTGGTAGCTTTGCATCGCGGTCATTCTTCGGCAGGTTTTTCAGAGTTCTTTTTGCTGACTGCGTTCCTGTTTTGCTGAACGACTTCTACGTCCTTTGCTCAGCACTTGCATTGCTTTATAGTGTTCTACACTGAGTACAAACATCCCGGCGGATTGAAGACTGCGCGTCCAGTGGCCGTCGAAGCCATCATGCGGTCATTGAGAAAAGTAGTAAATTCGTTGTTGCGCGCGTGTTTATAAAGATGTTTTTCTGTGCACAATTTGTGATCATGCTCTAGCATAGATGTACAGACATGATGAACATATCGAGCCCCTTTGGATTGAGAACAACCGCATGGTAGCGGAGCAAGGATAGATGAAACCCCTTTGAAGCTCCGGGTGCAAGGCCGTAGGTTATTGGGATTCTGCAGATTTCTTAGGTCCTAGAGCACTTTGCATTGAGCACGCAGGAACCGCAC